ATAATAATAATATNANAGAGAGGAGAGAGAGAGAGAGAGAGAGAGGAGAAAAAGAGAAGGAAAAATCCTGTAAATTATGAAATTTTTATTTTCCAACATCTCATCTTATCATTAGAATATTTTCTATAAAATTTTGCAAATCACCCAAATATCAATTACCTGAAACCACGAAGAAGAACGTCGAAAAGAAGTTTAAGTCGTTGCTGGACTGCTTCACTTTGATATCGCTTCATTAAATGTTGCCGAAAGTAATTTAGTGCTGTTGAACCCGTTGATGAAGTATTTGCAAGAAACTAAAATACATCAGTTAGTTATTATCTTTGATAAATTCTTATCAGCTAATATGGTATAAATATTTCATACCAACTCTATAAAATTTCTTTCCTTTTTTTTGTTAATTATTTGAATAATTGATAAAATTAGCGATTGAATATAAATTTTCGTATACGAATGATATAAAAATTTGATTAATTTCACTTTTTTTCAAACTCATTTGCACAAAAAAAAAAGGAATAAATTTATGGACGATATGAAATATGGGCAAATAAATGTTTCAATAAATCGATTGATAAACAAAACAAAAAAAAAGGGAAACCAAAAAAAAAATTAAAAGATGCAAATTAACAGTTAGAAAATGGAAATTATTCTTTGTATAATGGAAGGAAGTTGACCTTGTCGTTAATTCGCAACTCAATGAGTGTAAAATCGGGAGGAGGGAAGGAGAAAAAAAAAAGAAAATACTATTGGATGAAAATATCTTCATCATTGACCTATAGCGCGAGGTCATAACAGTCACAGATTTCGTAGATATGACCTCATGAAGATAAAAATGTCAGGGATCAATAATGGATGAAAATTTTTCTTTTGTTTTTTCAAGAATAAAATGATTTAAAACGATAAATCGATGAAGAAATGGAAAAGGATGGATAGCTATAAATAAATGTAAAAGGATAAAATGACTGAAGAATAGATGGATATATGAAATATTTTGATAAATTGATAAGCGAATTAAATGAATTAAAAAATTGAAGAGATAAAGTTATACATATAAATGTTTTCACGTAACACGTATGTTTACGTGAATATATTGGAATGAAAAAATTATGAATAATACTAATTTAAAAGAATCTATTTCCGTTTTATCACTTAATGGATGGATGATAAACAGAAAACATCTTTAGTGATAATATTAAAACATTATGATTGATAAATCATAACTTGTTGCTTAAATTAAACATCATCCCTCTCTCATAAAAGAAAACCATATGCTTGTATTGCTGTCCAATCTGTCTGTCTGTCCTGTCATATTGATATGTCTGTCTGTCTGTCTGCATCTTTCACTACAATATCTATCATTCATTCAAAATTTTTTTTTACGGATAAATTTTCATCGTTTCATTTGCTAATGAATTTACCAGCTAGGAGAGACAGTTTGAAATGTGAGTATAAACGTGAACATTACGTGAACACAAAGTCAATACAACGTGAACACAGCGTGAATACAACTTAAATACAACGTGAATACAACATGAACATAACGTGGATACAACTTGAACACAACGTGAGTATAACGTGAACAAATGAATACAATGTGAATACACACGTGAAGACAGCATGAATATAACGTGAATACAACGTAAATATAACGTGAACGCCAACGTAACTTCTTAATTGTACGTGACATTGTGACAATATGAAAGAATTTTTAAACGATGACAGTGAGAGGAAAGTGTAAGAGAATTAGAGAAGAATATAATCATGAAATGATCATTGCTATTGGTATGAAATATATGATAGGAATGAATTTTGAAAAAAATGAAAAGAGAATTTAAAAAATTTTTATTGAATGAAAGAAGATAGGATAGTAAGAGGAAATGTTAGAATGAGAAAGAGAATGAGGTAGGAAGAAAAGGAGAGGAAAAAGAGAAGGATGTAAAGCATTAGGAGTGATAAAGAGGAATAGCAGTTGTCATGTAAATGATGTGAGATGAGTGATGAAAGAAACATTGGATTGAGTGAATGAATGAATGAATGAACGGATAAATGAGGGGATAACTGAACGGATGAATGGAAGAATGAATGAATGAATGAACGAGAGAACGAATGAGTGAGGGAATAATTGAATGGATGAATGGATGAATGGAAGAATGAATGAATGAATGAATGAATGAATGAATAAATAAATGAATAAATGAATAAATAAATGGGAAAATTTAAAACTATTTCATAAAAATTTCACTCTTACAGCGATTACTTTAGTAAGTAAAAAAAGAAGGAAAGAAAGGAAAAGTAAAAAAGTGTGACAAATTTTCAACAAAATTGTTTGACAGTTTTTCGGTAAACAATTCAAAATTTATTTTTTTAAAGTGAAAAGTCCTTTTGAAATAAAATAATCTAATATAATAAATTGTAAAAGAAAACAAAAAAGCAACATATTCTAACGATTGTATCTGAAATACCGTAATTATTTGTAATAAACAGATCTTATATACCGAGTAATTAATAATGATTAATAATCGATTTATTATTAATCATAATAATGCTATGATAATGATAAAGATTTTTATCATTTATCTTGCTATGTACATAAATATAAAAAGTACCATAAAGATAAAGGCAATGGTACAATTTAAAAATAAAAACGAGAAATATCCCATATTATTATCAATCTTCGAAATTGAGGATAGGAAGAAAATTTGCTAGCTTATCATTATCATAAACCAATTAATTTTTAGCCGTTAATTAATTAATCATAAACTTGAAAAAAATCTCAGTAAAACTAATAAATTCATTAATCGTTTCACAGCATTTTAACAAATACCATTATTCAACGAATGATATTTTATAAAAATTATAAATTATTGTATAAGAAGTGAAATTCCTTCGTTTCTTTTTTTTAATCGTAATAAAACAAAAATTAATTACTAAAAATAAAAAAGGAAAACAAGAATTGATATAAGTTGAAAATGAATAAAAATAAATTGAAATGGAGCAATTGTAGGATGAAATGAGTAGTAGCAGTTGTTGTGGTTATAGTGTGACATTAAATCTTTCACTTGTTTTTTTTTGATTAGATTTTTCAATACTTTTAAAATTTAATCCTTTCTTTCTCTTTTTTTTTCTTGTTCTTGAAAAGTTGGAATTTTTAAGTGAAAACAAGAAATTAAACTATTTAATCATAAAAATAATAATTGTGAAGTATATTTGCTTAATAGCTTTTGCAATACAATTTTATTCATTCAACAAAATTTTTTCAAATTCTCTACAATCATTTATATTCTTCCATTACCCTAATTATTATCTTATAATTATTTATGCAAAAGCTAAAATTTTGTTAACGATTCATTTGGCTAAATATACCTGTATAAAATTAATTGATAAGTAAGAATGATATTAGTTGTTGAATAAAAATGATAATTTTATGCATGGGTAAAATTAATTAATAAGAAAGGATGATATTGGATGTTTATTAAAAATGATAGTCCTTTTTTGTTTTGTTTTACCGTTTATTTGAAATAAATATTGAACGTTTAATAAATTTTACGTCAAAAAAGAAAATATTTTCAATAAATTTTTTCAGTCTTAAAGATTATAAAATATTTATTTTGGTAAAAGGTATCTTATAGCGCTTGTTAAATGAAATAATTTTTCATCATTAAAAGGTCGTTTTTTCTACCACTGAAAAAATTTGTTTAAAATTTTAAAGAAGAAGTTATAACGGAAAAAAAAAGGAATAAAACATTTGTGCTATAACACTAACATTTTTACTAATTTAAGCTTTAAATAAAGTTTAAAACAAGGCGGAAAAAAAATTTCATTCTCTTTAAAAAACAAACAAACAAACAAACAAAGAACAAACCAATAAACAAAATGAGAAGACAGGAAAATAATTTATGAAAATTTTAGGTGTTGGAAATTTAACAATTCCATCCATTAATAGCATCAACAAATTCTTTGGCTGATTCAAAAAAAAAAAAAAAAGAAAAAAAAAAGAAAAAATGTGTTGCTTTGAATAAATTAAAGAGAGAGAGAAGAAAAAAATGCAAATGTTATCATCAAATAAATTTTTATTCATTTTTAATTGTGATTAATTATTCCTTCACTTTTTCCTTTCATCTTTCCTAATTGTGGTTAATTGTTCTTTTTTTTTCCATTTGTTTTTTTTTTTTTTGTTTTTTCTTCCAATATATTTGATAAAATTTTAACTATTCAAAGCTTTAATAGTTAAAGGTATCAAAAAAGTTTTTGTGTAAGATTGGTAGAATTGATTGAATACATGAAATTGTTTAATATATAATTAATTGTTTCTTTTTTTTTTTCTAAATAGGAATTATATATGGAAAATATTTAACCAAAAAAAACGGATCGTATGAATTTATTTCATTTTTTATAATTATATGTGTATGCTAATTTTGTATTACAGATAATTTCCAGCTTTTTTTTTTTTTTGTTTTACGTATAATTTTGCAAATTATACAAATGAGTAATTTTTCCGCTTTTTATTTGAATTGTTGTAATAGATGATTGTTGTTGTTATTATAGGAAATTTCGAATGATATAATTTGTATGAAGTAACATATGATTGTTGTTGTTGTTGTTATTGCTGTTGTTGTTGTGTTGTTGTTGTTGTTATTATTATTATTATTATTATTATTATTATTATTATTATTATTATTATTATTATTATTATTATTATTATTATTATTATTATTATTATTATTATTATTATTATTATTATTATTATTATTATTATTATTATTATTATTATTATTATTATTATTATTATTATTATTATTATTATTATTATTATTATTATTATTATTATTATTATTATTATTATTATTATTATTATTATTATTATTATTATTATTATTATTATTATTATTATTATTATTATTATTATTATTATTATTATTATTATTATTATTATTATTATTATTATTATTATTATTATTATTATTAT